TCCTTATTTATGTATTTTGTCACTCAATCTGTTTTTAATCACAAATGTGTCGACAATTTAGGGTTTTATAAGACAGATATGAGTAGAGCATTGAATTGAGTTCATTAATCTTTCTCTTAATAATACTAAACATTATGTAATTTATACCATTTATTTCTAATGCATTTAATTCAGTAACTAATTGTTCATAAATTCTTTGTCTTAAAGTATTAACACATTTTTAAAAATATTTTCTAGGTTCTTTTGATATTATAATAGTGATATATTATAACACTGATATTGAATTTCTAAATGTTTAATAATTAATAATAATAAGAATTAAGTCTTAATTTAATATTAATTAAAGTCTTAGAGTGGCTTAAATTGATTAAATGTAACAAATGAATGATACGAAAGTAATTGAAAGCACTAGTAATGCACTCATGAATGTGTACTTCAATGACCTTCTGGTATATTGATAAATGGTATATAAATAGGTAAAAGGAGGTGAGCGATGGGAAAGTGTGCCTGAACCTAAAGTTTATAAAAAATGGAGATTGCTAAATTTTACAAATTCAAAAAGTAAAATAAATAAAATGTTGTTTATTCTGTATCAATGAATAAACTATAATAATAAGAATTTGAGACATAAATCACAAAATTGTTTACTATTCTGCAAATTACATGTGAAATCAAATATGTTTTCGTAGCTTGAAATTGGCTATTCCTAGAATTATTAAGAAAACATATTTATAGTAAGAAATCAGGGAATAATTTATTAAAAATTGTTATCAAAGGTGATATCTTTATAAAGTGACGGCACAAGCCATCACATGCTTAGACTTAAGGAAGGAGCGCACCGGTAGATAAATGAAGTGTTTTGAACCATCGCATTGTTTTTTAAGTGATATTCCCAAACATTTGTCTATTAGTTTTGCAGACGGTTTGCGATTTTTTAATTACATGACACTCGTTATATTCAGTAGTTTTCTAATAATTAATGGAAAATATATCTAATCTTATGTTTAGCTTATCTATTGCTTATGACTTCTCTCTCTCCAAACAGATCACTGTTTCCTTTAATGACTGAAATCATATAAAAAGCACAAAATCTTCAATTAATTAAATGGTAATCACGTCAAAGAAATTGATTTATAAAGTTTTTATCAATACAGTTATATAAATTTAATTTGTTTCACTTTTACTAATTCACAGGAATTCTCACATAACTTTCAAAAACAAAATCAGTTCACTTTTGATGCAAATTAATTACAATTCATAATAATATTAAAACTAAAACAAAAGTCTAGAAAAAGTTTTTAGTGTTTATTGACATCAAAAGTATTTGACAATGAGTTTGACATCGGACCGACTGTTGGCATCGGGTGTGCTATTTTTGTGCACATTACTGGTGGGTACAGTCCCCGTATACCTGTTCCAGTACTGGAACCGACGGCGCACTACCCGTACGGTAGTCATCACCACCAATGAGAGCAATAAGACCGTACTTTCGGCCAATTTTTACGTACAATTAGTGACTCAAATAGGGGGAGGGATCCTATTCTTCACAGTCCTCGCGCATATGATCCCCGAGATTAGAGAGAATTTTGACAAATATATGGCCAGTAATGAGTCGTTTATCAGAGTGGAGGATAAAAGTGAATTTGTCAAAGCCATTCAACCCCTAAACCTGCCATTCCTGGAGCTATCCATTTGTTTGGGATTTTTTGCCGTTTATTTGGCCGAAGTTCTCATGCATTCACTGCTCGACAGTCACGACAGCAGTAATAATCTGAAGGAAGAGTTCTATGACTTCGACAAAAAATCTCAAATCAGTTCCGTCTCGACATCCCTCGAGTCGGAGCCCAGTGTTGTCCAAAACACCAAAGAGGATGAGCCGGTGCTCATAGCTATTAGATGTCATAAATGTAAGTTTAAATTATAAAATTAATGCAATAACTACTAATAAAACTAATCATAATTTTTTAATTTTCAGCCAAATGTGATATATCCACGCATTTACATAATGTGATCAAATTGGAGCCTGTTTACATCCGACTAATTCACGGATTAGTGATTATATCGGCCTTTTCTATTCACTCGCTATTTGACGGCATCTCAATCGGTGTGAAAACAAGTACCCCTGAAATATGGACCATGTTTATAGCCATTTGTTCGCACAAACTCATGATTGCCTTGATACTAAGCGTCGAATTATACGAAAAGTGTCTCAACTTTGTATTAGTCGTCTTTCTGATGGTCCTCTTTGCCATTATGTCTCCAATCGGTATAATAGCCGTCGTATTGGCGGAGAACTCGTATGATTTGAACGGAGAGGACAACCCGTTCACTATATTCCTGAGTGCTATGGCGTCGGGAACTATACTTTATATCGTATTCTTCGAGATTTTACAGAAGGATAGGGCGACTAAACTCAGACCTATCGTCCAATTCATCGCTATATTCATAGGCTTTGCGCTCATGTTTTTGGTGACAATTACTATGAAAGAAGATTAGACATCATTTTCATTCATTTCGTGGAAATCTGCACTTCAAATATGACACCTTATCATAAAATACTAAACACAATGTCCCCACTGTTTTAAAGTTGTACATAACCGACTCATTTGTAATAGATATCATTGACAAATATTTCATTATAATTAATGTCATATAAACTATGTAATAAATTTTACGCTTAATAATATAATATTTAATCTATTGTACTATTGATAACTTTTAAAGTTTGTTAATTATTAAATTACTTTATAATTAAATTTGACGACAAAGTTTTATAACTAAAAGAATTTATTTAAAGAAAATAAACTTTACACAAACATTTAATATTGTAAAATAAAATAATAAATATTTTGATATTTAACAATTTGATTGACGCATTGAATGAAATGATATTTAGTTAAATAGTTTTTAATCGATTGCCATTATGTTATCGTTGTGTCGATAAAACACAATTTCTAATACAAAGATTATAAACCTGCTGATTATTACGACTGTAAACCACACTTATGTGAGTTGCAAATCAAAGTTTAAGTGAAGTGCGAATAATCCTTTAATTTAAATAACATTCAATGTTTATGAATCCAATTCTTATTTCTATTTGATAATCAAATAATAATACACTTCAAATGTATTAATATCATACTTACCTCCCCATTAATACTCCAACCAAAGTACCTAACAATCCAGGTACAAATCTAAAATATAGGGACTAAAAATATATGTCCAACAAAATTTAGACCACTATTGATAACCAGATTAAACCAAACGTTAAGCAGGAGCATCCTTGGCTATTATATGGAAATAAACTGAAAAATTATTAAATGATATTCTCAATAAACATATAAAATAATATCAATTAATAAGACACAAATTATTTACAATTCTTAATACAATATTTAAAATAAAAAGCTTGCAAATCTCTTATTAATTATTAGCAATTCTCTTATATAAAGATATTTAATATGTATTAAGAATTGAAGAATAATTGATATCAAAATATATAAATACCGTATAATACTATATAATAACAAATTATATTTAAACAAAACAAATAAATTTAAACTTTTAGCAAAACACTGTTGATTGAAGTTAATTATCATTTGAAATGACAGATAATTTCATATCTTGCGGACTGGAGTTTGTGTCTATAATTAAAGCCCAGGGCTGAGGCTCTGCTGTCCCCAGCACTTCAAATACGAGTCCACCGAATGCATAGACAGCGCCCGCCATATACCACATTATATTCCACTGATGTCTGGCACCCGACCCCTCCTAAAACATATTTTAAAATTAATTAAAATTTTATATTCATCTATGATAACAGACCCCGTGATCAAGAAGTAGACCAACAATTAAGGGACAAACAAAGCCAAGAGTTGAGGCCAGAGTGTTGGCCACACCGAAAATTGTTCCTGAATAGTTGAGCGCATATTCCGGTATTATTCCGTACTCACCACCCGTTACCGCGCCGTATGATAGCATAGACAACAACATGAGGGCTATCACTGC